ATACCAATACAAATACAAAATATATCTATACATATACAAATACAATGCAGATACAGATGCAGATACATATACATTACATATATGTTAAATATAAATATAAATATAAATAATAGAATAGAAACTAATATAAATCATATAAATAATAGAAATAGAAACAGAAATGGAAATAGAAATAATAGAAGGAATAGAAATAGTGGAAATAATAGAAATAATAGAAATAGAAATGTGATATGGCCAGGAAGTGCTCTGTTTCCCAGCCTGAAAAAGAAGCAGGAGCTCTGACCCCCACCCAGGCAGCCCCAAATCCTTCTGCAGGTTGAAATCAAAGCCTTTTTCAGCAATGAAGCAATACCTTCCTAGCTGAACTGCCATAAAATGCTACTGTGAGTGGAGGCTGGCTTGTTCTGTGCAGGCCTGAAACCAATCAAAATCATCAGAGCAAACAAGTTTTAATTAAGTCTTATTAACAACGATGTCCCTCAGTGGCTCTTCCATCCCCTTCATAATAAAACAGCTCTCACAGGTGAGAAATCTGCCCTGCAGTAGTCAAACCCTTCACAGCAAAGCAGCACGTCCCAGGGCAGAGAAATACAGCTCCTTCCTCACTTCTCTGGTTGTTCATTTCCTTTGCACTGATTTATTGCTGGGAGGAGCTGCCCCGGTGCCCAGCATCCCTCAGCAGCAGGATGGGTCTCGCACAGGCAGCAAGATGCCCATTTGAGGATGTGGATACCAGTGTGTGCTCTTCCTTGGGGAACCCTCAGAAAAGATGAGCTCCCCTGGAGCTCGCCACCACAGTCGTTAACAGAGCTGTTAGACAGAGCTGTTAGAGGCTACAGCACTCCTATTTCTCTTTAATTACACCAGGTAATTCTCTTGAATTACCTTACCGGGTAAGGGTTTACCTCTTACAGGCTGAGCGGGACCCGGTGCCCAGTGAACCCACCACCCACTGCGTGGAAACAGAGCAAGCCCTGGCCTCATGCTTAAATGGACCAAGGTGCCTGCATGGCTTTGAAACAGCAGGAGGAATAGTGCAGGGTGTATTACACGTACCAATGCTGCTATCTGCTGGCTGTGCATCGCTAGAACATTCAGTACTTTGCTGTATGGGGCAGCTGGTGCTTGGGTAACAGTCCCCTGTTGAAGCAGCCCCCGCAGTGGAGTCCTGCTCCACCACAACCCCTGCTGCAGCCCGGAGAGGATGAAAGATAGAAAGGAACTTTGGACAAGGGCCTGTAGGGACAGGCCAAGGGGAATGGCTTTAACCTGCCAAAGGGGAGACTGAGATGAGCTCTGAGGCAGAAGCTCTTCCCAAAGCACTGAGGGATTCTATGGTTGTGACTTTAAGGAAGCAGTAACACACAGCATGGGCTCTGCAGCTCATTTTTGAGGACTAGGGAACATCTAAAATGAAATTTCTAAACTGAATTTCCCATCAATCCACTTCCCGTCTGCTTGGTCGATGCCTGATCCTGCAAAATCCACGGGGGAGTTCTATGGTATTTGCTGCACCATCTGCTGCGAGGCCAAGCAGGCTTTTCCATCCAAGCACAGGGAACACGTGTGACACCTCAGGTGCCTGATGGAGAAGAAGCTGGTGGAGCAGCAGTGGTGGGGCCAGGGCACATCCCTGTGACCACAGCCTGGGAATTTGGCTTCAATTCCTGTGTTGTTCCAGTTCGGAGGCAGCCAAAAGCTCCGTCACCATAAGATGGCCATAAAGAGGCCTTGGTAAAGGGTGATGTTTATGCTCCTTCCCTCTTCAATCCTTTTCTAACCATAGAACTGGCATCACGTACAGCCCATGCATATAATCTGCGACGATTCTGCCTTTGCTTCTGAGGTAAAGGGAAGAGCATCTGTGCAGGGCTTTTCCGTCGCCCAGAAGAGAAATGGTATTTACAAGTATTTGCATTACAAGCACTTCACAGGTGTTTCATTCAGAGTCTTTAATCGTAGCCTTCAGAGCCATTTAATTTGCTGGTGTTTTGATTTGTAGTAACAGACGTAAATGAGATTATCTATCCCCTGGGATAAACTGTCAAAGGCAAGTGCTGAAGAATTGGGCTCTAAAACCATTTTAATGTGCTGGTGTTGCAAACCCTGAGATGGAGCCACAGATTAGCATGAGCCAGGACTTGGGCCTCAAACACAATGTGCAGTGTGAGAAGCACCTTTGAGTGGGCTCACCCGCGAAGGAGGCATAAGGGCAGGAGGAAACATCTGCAGAGCATGCAAAGAAAGTGTGCTCAGTGCCGTGGGGCTTCATGGGTTGCTTTTATAACCATAAAAAATACCAGGAGAGACAAGAACAGGTGAATATAATAATATAATATAGTATAATATATATAGTAAATATAGTATACTATATTATACTATATATAATAATATAGTATCATATAGTATAATACAATATAATATATAATATAATATAATATAATATAATATAATATAATATAATATAATATAATATAATATAATATGATGTGCTTTCTTGGAAGAGGGTTGGTTTGGGGGTACAGCTGCGGAGTCCGATGTGGGAATTGCATTGGGTTCCAATTTTCCTATTGATACTTGTTCACGTTCCTCTTCTGGAGAAAAAAAAAAGAGTTTTGAACAGTTTTTCTGCTGGTTTTCTGAGGGCAAGTTATTTTCTTGGGGGAAGAAGAGGTTCGTTCCAGCTTCTCACTTGAACTGCAGGAAAAAAGGCCTGAAAACAATTCTAGAACCATAGCATCCCAGCCTGGTTTGGGTTGAAGGGACCTTAAAGCTCCTCCAGCTCCAACCCCTGCCACAGGCAGGGACCCCTTCCACTGGAGCAGCTTGCTCCAAGCCCCTGTGTCCAACCTGGCCTTGAACACTGCCAGGGATGGGGCAGCCACAGCTTCTCTGGGCACCCTGTGCCAGCGCCTCAGCACTCTCACAGGGAAGAGCTTCTGCCTGAGAGCTCAGCTCAGTCTCCCCTCTGGCAGGTTCAAGCCATTCCCCTTGGCCTGTCCCTGCATCCCTTGTCCCAAGCCCCTCTCCAGCTTTCCTGCAGCCCCTTTAGGCACTGGAGCTGCTCTAAGGCCTCCCCTGAGCCCTCTCCAGGCATTGTGTCTTGCAGAAGCCACAGACGATGTCCCCAGGGCCTATAAGTAGGAAATCTATTTCCAATTACATATGTTTTTATTCCCATAAATTAACCAATGCTCTTCCCACCCTTGCCTCTTTGCTATTTCTGATTCTTGTGATTCCCCCTCCCCATATTTTCCATCTTGATGTCTGCATCTTCCTTCTTTCCTTATCTTCCGCCGGCCCCAGAGGCTTAGCGCTGCTTTGGCAACATGCTAACATGTTTAGGAACGATAAGACATCTAATTAATAGTTTAATTAGCAGTACAAGGCCTTAATAGTTTATTAAAGCGAAGACATTCAAAGAATTCTTCCCCTTCCTTGCGTTGGTACAATATAATTTACCAGCAAATGATAAACCAGGTCTGAGTAGTGCTGAGGCTTTTAGCAGGGATTTGGTGCTGGATTCCTGATTTCACGGGGGATTTTGCACCATTAATATTATTATTTAGTTGCTGTTGTTGCTTGAAAACTGTTTACCGGATGAACAACAGCAACTGCAAAGGAAGCAGGGGGCTGCCTGAAAAGGGAATGGAGGGAGCTGCCTTCCCTTCTCCTGCACAGAAACAAGTCCTGTGGGGAGCTAAACTTGCTCTTTAAGAGGCTCTGCTGAAATGTCAGGTCGTGCTCGGAGCCGGGGAAGCTCGGCCCCTGCGGGCTCCCATCCACCCGCTCCCTGTGCACTAATGGCTGTTAAACCTGATTATTTTTAGATGAAGGTATCCTTGGCTGAGAGCATCCAGAGGGGCAAGGACCACCTGGAGATCCCTCCTGCTTTTCCGAGTGAGAAACTCCGCGTTAAACCCCCCTTTGGAGAGAGGAGAAGGAACCAAGCGGGGTTCCCCAGGCCGCCGTGTTTTCCCTCTGACCCACACAAAGATCTCTTTCTATATTTATCACAGTGTCCATCGGGCAGAGCCCACTGGAACCAGGCAGGGGAGCTGGGGAACAACCCAGGGATGAGGCGATCACTGAGGAAAGGGTTGGAGACAGTGAGGGGGCAAGTGGAGCTCTCACCAGCCTCCCGGCTCCATCCACATTATCCCTCCCCTGAGGCTGCCGGCCTCGGGAATGCTGCAGGGAGATGGCAGCGCCCCAAGTCCTGGCCATGTCCAGGGAGGTTTTGCTTGGCTCTGGATGGAGGCACCGCTGGGGAATTTCCACTGGGCTGCGGCCGGAGCTGGTGGGTCAGGAAGGTGAAGCTGCCTTTGGCTGCAGCAGGGCATGCAGCCACAGCACCCCATGCAGCCGAGCATCCCTCCAGCTCCCAGACCTCTCGTGTCCCCCGGTTCATACCTGCAGAACCAGGGCTCCTGCCCACTTGGACCAGGCAGCTTTTGCCACCCTGTACAGTGGGTGTCCATGGGACCAGCGCCATCCGCTGCCCCATGGTCACAGTAACACCGGTGCAGGGGGCACAAAACCCCTCTGGTTTGTGTTCCATGAACCCCCACACCGAGGATGCAGGCCAGTGTAACCCATCTCCTTCATGGGTGCTGGCCGATGCTAGCCCTGTGCTTTGCAGGGATGAAACCCTATACAGGGAGTAAGCACTTGGAATCACACAGGGAAACGTCTGGAATCACACAGGGAAACGATGCAGTTACAAGCCTGGCAAATTGAGAAAATGCAAGACTATGCAATGTTCTTACTGTCAGCAAATTGCTTAATCTGTGCTGAGCCGAGTTTCCCATCCATTAAATGGGGAATGATTATCCCCTGCTCCCTAGGAGGGAGCGAGGAAATCTACCCACCGATGCTTGCGCTGGTGCTGGGAGGGAGATGCGCAGGGACGCACGTAGTGGCTGGAGCTGGGAAACCCAACTTCCGACCTGGAAGGAACGAGTCGCATTTTAAAACCAACCCTTAGGAATTAATTTCTCCCTTTTACTGAGGAAAATCCCGAAATAGATTTATCCGGTCCGAGCAGGACTGTAAAAGGTTTCCGTGGATGAGAACATTCCAGGAGCCGTGGGAAAAAGGAGGATAACGCGGTTCTGGGGCGGGAGGGCACCGGACGCACGGTGCCTCCTGGGAGTTGTAGTCCGCTCGGTTGACCTGGCCTCCGCCGGAGCCGTTGCGCAGCACGCAGGTACGGGGCCGGGCCTCCCGTCCGTGTCCCCCGCTCATCCCGCACGCATCCCATGCACATCCCGTGCATCGCCCCACGCACGGCCGGGTCCTATCCTGGCACCCTGGGCTACGGGAAAGTGAGGGTCTCTGCACGGTCCCGGATTACTGGGCCGGCCCCCCCCCCGGATGTGGAATCTTGGAAAGAGCAGTAGTAAGGGTAATAAGGATGATAATGATGATAATAACGGTAATAATGATTATATTCTTCCCTGTGAGGGTTGTGAGGCACTGGCACAGGTTACCCAACCCAAAACATGCCAGGATTCTATGATTCTATGAAAATAATGATCATAACATGACAATATTCATTATCAATAATAATATAAAAAATATTAATACTGTGACAACAACAAAGAGAATAATCAAGATAATGATAATGATGATAAGAATTAGAAGAAGCAGAAGCAGCAGCAGGGGATCCTGTTACACTTCAACGAGGGGGTCCACACAGATAAATCTCAGCCAGGCTCACTCCTGTCCTATAGGATAAGCGGGAATGGCTGTCCTAGACCAAACGGGAGCCCCCGGGGAACGTAAGGGCTCTCTCGCTGGTTATGTTTTAACACCAGCCCACAGGGGTTGCAAGCGGCTGCTTTACAGCGAACGTCCTGTTTCCCCGGCTTTTCTATTGAGAGCCAATAGCTGCAGGCAGCATCGCAACTGCCTTGCGATGGGTTGTTACGGTCTGCCTCCTGCTTTCCCCCTCTCGCAGAATATACGATGCCACTTCTGTTTGGGGACTGTTTTAACAGCGAGGTGGCGGAGACAAAATTGACTCAATAAACTTGCTTTTCCTCTTGTGCAGCTTTAACTTAGATAAACGGGCTTTAAAGTCCCGCTTTAGCGTGGGATAGGGCTGTTTACCCTTCATCATTGTTAGTTAATTGCTGTTTGCTTAAATATTTAGTTTGGATTAAGTTCTTTTATGTTCTTTTCTTGAAAACTAATAAATAAAGGTGTGTTTAGGACTGTGGTAAAAGGCTTTGTAAGAGGCTTCTTAAAGATACTCCGCAGCAGGGAAGCTCCAGGAAGTTTTCTATATATTGCATTTCAGTTCTCTGACTTGGCATTTGCTGTGTTGTTAATTGTAATTAGTCAAGCAAAAGCAGCAAGGGGAGTCCAGTGTTCTTTGTGCTACTGCAGGCTTTGAGTGTACATTACCCAGGTCATTCCTTATCCTGAAAAGTAAAAAGAAACACAGTTTGCATCATTTAAATCCACAAAATCCAACTCAGGGCTTGCAGCTTGCCTGCGTGCAGTGCAGGAGGACAGTGCAAAGAAAGGATGGGTTTGAGTGAGTCCAGAGGAGGTCACAGAGATGCTGCAAGGGCTGGATCAGCTCTGCTCTGGAGCCAGGCTGAGAGAGCTGGGCTCGGGCAGCCTGGAGAAGAGAAGGCTCCTGACGGGGAGACCTTAGAGCAGCTCCAGTGCCTCTCCCGGCGTGTTGTGTCCCATTCTCCATGACACACTGTCCTCCCGTTGCCAAGGAGCTGATCATATTGCTGGGAGCCAGGACTCTGCTGAACTGCTCCATCATTCCCATTCTTCCTTTGCCTCCTCCCTACCTCCCACTCAGCCCCGATGGAATTACATTAGGAGGGATGATTCTGCAGCCACCACCTCACTATTGGGGCTGGGTTTTGGCAGTTTCAGGCAACAGGGATGTGCACGAGGCCAAGCCCAGCAGTTCGACTGTCAGCCCGGCTGTGACATGCAGGGTGCTACTACCACGGGGTGACTGGCACCTCTGCAGATAACTCAGGTTGCCATGGTTACAGATGGAAATAGGGCTACGGGTTAACTTGGGTCAGTGTGGCGTCAAGCACAACACCCTGCATGGCTCTGTGCGCCCCTGGGACAGTGAATGCTGGAACAAGGAATCCCCAAGTCACCTCCCAGCAGTGAGCCTGTCAGTTAAACTTCCTGAAACTTCCCAGACCTTGGGGTGGAACAGCCTCCTGCGAGCCCTGGGCAGAAGGAGCTGTCCCAGCCCTGTGACCTGTTGTTTATTACTTACTGGTGCTCCCCAAATATTAAAGTCTTCCGTAAGCTCTGGTTTTTCTGGGCTTTCACATTCTGAATCATAGAATCATGGAAGGGTTTGGGTTGGAAAGGACCTTAAAGCTCATCCAGTTCCAACCCCTGCCACGGCAGGTTGCTCCAAGCCTTGTTCGATATTTGGGGAAGGAACACTATTAGATATTTAAATATTAAATATTTAGATTATAGACATTAGGCAGAAGCTCTTCCCTGTGAGGGTGCTGAGGCGCTGGCACAGGGTGCCCAGAGAAGCTGTGGCTGCCCCATCCCTGGCAGTGCTCAAGGCTGGGTTGGACACAGGGGCTTGGAGCAAGCTGCTCTATGGAAGGGGTCCCTGCCTGTGGCAGGGGTTGGAACTGGAGGAGCTTTAAGGTCCCTTCCAACACAAACCAGTCGGGGATTCTACAATTCTATATTAGAAGCTGGCGTAGATTTAAACCCAATCTGTGCCATCCCCTCATTGCCAGTCCTTGCAGCAGGCTGGGAGCTGATCCTCAGCTCTCCCCCTGACAGGACGAAACGATGCCGTCATGTACGGGCTGGAGCTGCTGGAGCTGGTCTCTGGGTTAGGTTTGGGGTTTTTTTTTCAAAGGAAAAGAGTTGGCAGGCACACGAGCAAAGCTGAAAGTACTTTCATCTGGGTTGGTTTGTAATGGTTTATGGTTTGTTTTCTCCTTTACGGATTACCCAAAGGAACCGCTCAGAACAAAGGTCTCCCATTCGGGAAAGGGGAAAGAAAATCTACAGGGAGACTAATGTCATTCAGTAGAATTAGCCAAGAAAAACCCCAAAAGAACTGAACAAATGAGAGTATTTTATCTTGGGGGAAAAGAAATAGTTCACCCTCTCATTGAGGTTTGTTTGCAAAAGGATCCCAGGCTGGGCAGAGAAATCAGCTCGTGCATCAAAACATGTTTTGAGATTAGTTTTTATTTATTGAATGGCTTTTAGAACTTACCTGTGGTTTTCAACCACTTCTGGCTCTGTAAGTACAAAATACCTGTCTCACCTTTTAACCTGTTGTGCACCTGTGCTTTATGAGAGGCTGCAGGAGAGAACTGACCCATGTGGTTTAAAAAGGCAGTTTGTGAGGAGAAACCGGCTGGGAAAGGAACCTCTCCTCACTCCTGCTTTTTTACCAGGTTCATTTTAAAGAGAATAGCTTATAATTACATGTATTTAGAAGCACCTCGAAGGCTCACAGAGACCCAGAGGCCACTCAAGAGCTGGACAAGCAAAACCAGTTTAGCCCTGGCCAAAATCATTTGCAATCCCATTGTCCAGGCTGAGCCAAGAGGCAGAGATAAACCTTGGCCAGCACCAAACCTGGCATGACCAGCAATTGCCACCAGCCACGGCGTGGGTTCGACCAGCAGAGCCGCTCTGAAGGTGATCATTTTGCAGTAACAAAAGGATGTTTGCAGCTAAGAACAAACACTTCTCGGTGGTAGGTTTGGGCGGTCTCAGCAGCGGTGCTGCTGCAGGCAGCGTGGTGCTGGTGCTTAGCACGTCTGGCAGCTCCCAGGCACCCGTGGGTGCTGTGCTGGGGGCGGGAGCAGGGCCCAAGTGCTTCAGATGAATCACAGCAGATTTCCCAATCTCACTGTGCTGGAAAAGCCGTCCCTGGCAGACACAGGCACTGGGTGGGATGTGGCCTCATCCCCAGCCGTGCTCCCAGGCCCAAGCCTCTCTGCCCAGCCGCATCACCCTCCTGTAGGTGCATCCCTGATGGTGGGCAAAAGGAGGAGCTGTGCTCTTCCATGCAGCCTGCTGGCAGCACAGCAGTGCCAAGAACGCTGCTTAGGAATGCCTAAACAAATTTTTCCCTGTTTATTCATTTCCCAATTGGAAAACACTGCTTTGTCATACTAAGGTTGGCGGAATTCTTCATAGAATCCTGGAATGGTTTATTAGCATAGTAGTATTACTGTTTTGATCTTATTATCATAATTATTGTTATAGATAGAATAATAGAATTCTAGAATGGTTTATTGCCATATTATTATAATTGTGGCTGCTTTCATATTAGCATTATTAAAATCATTATTATAGACAGAATAATGGAATCACAGCCTGGTTTGGGTTAGAAGGGAGCTTAAGGCTCCTCCAGTTCCAGCCCCCTGTCACAGGCAGGGACACCTTCCCCTAGAGCAGCTTGCTGCAAGCCCCGTCCAACCTGGCCTTGAACACTGCCAGGGATGGGAGATTTTAATGGGAGATTTCCTCCTGTCCAGGATTTAACCCCAGGGAGCTGGGAGGTGAAATCAGGATCACTGTGCTGCCCATCACCATGCCACCCCGTGTCCAAAATCTCTCCATCATACCATGCAACCCTCCATGCTGCTCCCCCGGTACTTGGAGGAGCGTTGATCCTCAGTTAGGTAAATCCAAGATATTGAAGGAGTGTTTAATGGATTTTTCCTTTGTTTTCCCAGCCAGGTCTTTCAGCTGCTGGCTGTTTTTCCCAGCAGCAGTGATGTGTGCAGGGCTTGAGCAGAGGAGCCTCATGGTTACCTACTGATTACTGCTATAGAAATGAAAAGGAAAAACTCCTGGCTTCTGATAAATCACAACTACATTCTAGCTGCAGCTAAACACTTAAATTGGTAATTAATATCCATCCTTTAGGGTGGGGAAATAGTTGTTTTCCATCCTTTCATGGGCTTTTCTGGGAGAAATAAACTACTGTAGTTTGGAAAGCAGAGGTTTAAATCTGTTTATTTCATACTAAACATGTTGTAATTCTGCTTATGAGACAGCAAGTCAGCTCTCTGTGTGTGCATGTTGTCCAGGAGGAAATAAAACCAACAGGGACTTACGGCAGTTCCCTCGGGATGTGCTTGCGTGGGACCAGGCTCCTCCTGGGCTGCCAGTAGGAAAGCGTTGCTGGTGAGGTCTTAAGTCTTTACTTACTGGAGCATACGTTACCTGAATCCCCGTTCTCCAGTGGTCTTGAGAGCAGATTCCCAGCGTCGGGTGCTGCGTTAAGCCTGTGCTGATCAGCTGGAGCTGGGAAGCCGAAGGCCAGCGAGGCAGGACGCTGCCATCACTCCCAGCGCTCCCATCGGAGGACTGCGTGTTCCTGGGGTTACGCAAGAACGGGCAGCGGGTGCCCCCAGCCCCTCGCTGCCGCCGTGGGCACCAATCCCCCGTCTCCAGTCACAGCCTCGGCGTCCCCACGGGAAACGGGAACCCTTGGGAAAGCAGAAGTGTGGCTCGAATGAGGATTAAGCTATTTTTAGCAGCTGCCTTGTGCCCTGTCCGGGCTCCAGCTGGGATGTTTAATTCTATCTGGGACGACTCCTGCAGTTGCACCAGGATTGATACAAGGATTTCCTTTTAAACCTTGAATCTGTTGTATTTTTGGCTTAGTTGATAATGTGTTTGTTACAAAACCCCCTTTTTTTCCCCCCACATCTACAACAGCTGGAAAATCCAGCAGTAAAATAATACAAACATTGCTGTATAATAAAAGAAGTTGCAGAACTTTTTTACTATCATTATTATTCATTTTACTGTGTAGTTTGGAAACGTAGTCATGGATCAGGAATGTGTTTTACCCTGGGCTGCACAAACAGCACGGAAGGAAAATTGCCTCTATTGAGTAAAATCACGTAGTGATACCCATTAGAGCTAAACAGCATCAGGACAAGACATTAAAGACAACTCTGAGCACCTCATCATTTACCCAGCCCGTATTTAAATACCTGCTGCTCGTATGTTTAACCTTTGAGAATGTGTTTGTAAAGGGAACTTCAAGGAAGACCAGCAGTTAGGAAAACACCATGAAACACACTTGGATAGAGATCAATGGATTCCTCCGTCCCGCTGCACTCCCCACACCGGGTAATGTTTGGCCTTTGCAAATATCCAGCCCCACGTGAGATGGGCCGGGCACTGGGTAGGGGAAGGAGCCTGGGCATGGGGATGGTACCTGTGTGGGCGTGAGCTCCCTGTGAAGTTGTCCTTGCCGTGCTCTCTAAGGGCAAGCTGATCCAGCCGCACTGGGACAGGGAAGATGCTCTCCATCGGAAAACCCAGGCTCCGCAGGAAAGTGCCATTCTCCCCTCTGAAAACACAGCAGTCAGCCCAAGGGCATGCTCTGTGCTATGTGTAGAAGGGCAGGGTGTATTTTACTCCACACTCCACCTGTCCCCCCGTGTATTTCAGTGACTCATGAAGCTCTGAAGGGCTATTTCCGTGCTCCCACTGCAATCCCAGCACCTCCGGCTGCGCTGTCAGCACACCTCAGCTGCACACAGCACCCCCGCCGGCTCTATTCTTAGCAGCTAATAGCTGAAATAATTACTTTTGTCTCAGCGCTGTTGATTCCTTAGATTTGGAACTGAGCAAAACCTGCAGCTCTGGGAGCCCGGCTGCCCCATTCCTTCTTCCACCACCGGGAAGCGTTTCGGGCACCACACGGACCAGGAATGCTGCGAGACCGTGGGCAGAGCTGTGTTGGAGGATGCTAAATACCGTGAACCCAGCTTCTACACAGGGCATTAGCTCTGCTTTGAAGCAGCTTCGATGTTAATGTGGTGCCACCTCTTTGAAAACGATCTTGGCTTTTCCAGCTGGGATTTTCTTAGACTTCACAGGGTAAATTCCAGGAAGCCAGGTTTTCAAAGGGAGGGGAAGGCTTTCACCTGCAGCTTCCACTCCAGCACCTGCTTAGTTGTGTGGGCTTGCTTTGCACAAAGAATGCAGACATGACTACCCGATGCCAGCACATCCCCAACAGTTCCCAGGAAGGAACCCACACCTCCAGCCTTGCCACCTTTTGATCTCAACCCCAGATGTTCCATCCAATTCACAGAATCCCAGACTGGTTTGGGTTGGAAGGGAGCTTAAAGCTCATCCAGTTCCAACCCTGGCAGATGGGCCTGTTTCTGCTGGTATTCCTTGAATGGAGCTGGCTGGGAATTCTGTGATAGATTTCTGTTGGAAACCATCATTTTGCTGAGGTCATGTTTTGTGAGGGAGCTCTGACAACTTTCACATTTAGAAAAAGAGTTATCCCACATCAGCAGTTGGAAAACATTCTATTTTGCATTTTAAAGCCACTGTCAGGACTATTGGTTGGTAAACTGAAAAACACTGTGCTAAGGGACATTAACTTCTACATTCCCCTGTCCACCTCTGCCCCATTCTTTGCTCCTTCCATGCATCAGAGAGATAATGTCCCAAGACATCACTTACGTGGCTGCTGAGGTCGAGGGATTATAGATTTACAGCTGTATGGGCTTGCTAAATTGGGCAGGAATTTGTTTGGCATAGTCGAGGCCTTTGCATTATTTGATCTCAGCCTTTTAGTTAAACAGGAACATGCCCTGATTTTAACAATCGCAGTTTCCTGCAGTCGGAGGAAGGAGTGGCCGATGGCATTTAAACCGAAAGCTGAGCCAAGGCTGCACCAGCAGGAAGCTGGAAGTGCAGGCAGCAGCACCAGGGTTTCCTTCGTCATTAAAAGGATCAAGGACCTTCCTCAGAGATTATTCTATCACCCACAATACCAGTAATTACATACATGAGGGTCAGACTGCTGCAACACCAGGCTACATTTTACTGCTATTAAGGTCACTGTAGCAGAAAACAGCATGGACAAGCACACATTTCTTCTGCTCCCTGATGCAGTGCTCCCTGGTCCTTCCATGATGCTCACAGAAACTGTCAATTGACAGCAGATGTGGTAGCAACGGCTCAGGGTTCAATCACAGAATTATGGAATGGTTTGGGCTGGAAGGGACCTTAAAGCTCATCCAATTCCAGTTCCACCCTCCTGCTATGGGCAGGGACACCTTCCACTAGAGCAGCTTGCTCCAAGCCCCTGTGTCCAACCTGGCCTTGAGCACTGCCAGGGATGGGGCAGCCACAGCTTCTCTGGGCACCCTGTGCCAGTGCCTCAGCACCCTCACAGGGAAGAGCTTCTGCCTAAGAGCTCATCTCAGTCTCCCCTCGGGCAGGTTAAAGCCATGCCCCTTGGCCTGTCCCTACAGGCCCCTGTCATGACATCTTGTTATGCTGTCCAGCACTATCCACACTTTTTTTCTTTCAATTAGCACTGCAAACACTGTTTCAGTCAGCGACTAAGTTACTCCTCACTCTGGACTGGCTACTTTCACTGGTGAGAGTGATCTTCCCTGTCCCTGACCACAGCCAGAGATTGTTTCCAGTTACCAAGCTTGCTTCCTAGCCTGGGACTTAGAAAACCAAAGTTGTGCCTCCTGCTTTTAGGAGTTGTTTGACCCCAATCAAACAACACAAACCAGTAACAAAACATGAGCATGGGCTCCATTTCAAACAGAAAACCAGCCCAGATTTTTACCACAGAATCCCAGCTCACAGAAAATGCCAAATCCTGACCAACAGTGTGAGAAGATGCATTTATTTTTGGGGTCCTCATTCAGTCTTGAGTGCTGAAGCTTCCCAGTGTGCCAAGCTTTCCCAGTTACGCACTCAAGCGTTCCCCATCGCAGTGCAGCTTTGAGACTTCTTGTGAGCCCAAGTGCCACCATAAAGTAAATACTTACATGCAGGTAAAGGTTGAAATGTTCCATGGCTGGTGATCTGCAAATGCAAGTACACCATAGAATAAATGCTGCCTTACTCCTGAAAGCAATGAAAATGGCATAACATGAAATAAATCAAAGCTCCATTTTACTTTCTTAATATACCAGAAGATTGACAAAATCATTGCGAGTTAAAAGCACCAGTCAGCTGTCCCATTTCTGAGCCTCCGAGCCTTTGATCTTGCTTCAGTGCTCTACACAATCACATTCAGAGCTTCACGGTGTCTCGTGGGTCCAGTGAGATGGCCTCTGCCTGGCCTGCACCGCACTGGCACGTTGTAAATCATCCGGATGACAATGAGGAAAACAGGGAACGGGGGAAATCCGCACTGCTCCTGCATGTTGGAGCTTCTGAGAGAACTCCGGGGTAACTGAAACCAGCACAGGCAGCTGAACATCACAGAAAACACTGCCCTACTTTAGTGAGTATCGCTGCTGGATGACTCATTTAAGTAGCCGTAGAGCTCTTACAGTTTTACGTTCGTTAACTGAAGTAGTTAATGCAGCTTCGGCCACAGAGCGTACGTGTAAGGCTTGAAGTCCCGTGGGTTTGATTGCATAAGAAACCTCGTACTGTGGCATTTAGTTGATCAAGCACTACTTCTTGTGGTCACATGGACATTTGATTTCCCCTTGCATCAGCTACAACAGATCTTTTCCATCTTTTGAACCGGTGCCTACCTGTTCAATTCACAAGGGTCATCCCCTCCATCCCACACAGGGAGCCTGTGCTGCTTGCCCAGGTCCTGAGCTCACAGGATCTTTTTGATTGTAGAATCCTATGTGAAAAAGCAGGAGCTTGCAATTCTTCTCATTTGTGTCTGGGTATAACAGGTGTCATTTTCAGTGTAGTACAGACAAATCCCAAAATAGTTCCGGCTCTTCAGATGCTGCAAAGAGAAAAAATAGTGGTTACTTCAGCTTTGGTTGTAGTGAAAAACCCAGAGCTCACAGCCAGCTCTGAAGTCCAGAGTTAAAATGGCAGATGTAGTAGTGATCTGTCCCTTGATTCTGTTTTTCAAATGGGCTGCTGGCTTCCTCACTAGCTCTTTTGTATATCCAGACCGACGCACGAACTCCCTCAGACGGTGCTGGCTCTCCATTAGCTTCCCTTTGATTCCCGATGCTGTAGCTACCACTGATCCTCCTCCACATTTCCCGGTTTTGAGGCTACAAGACAGCAGAGCTCTGCTTCCCCTGCCTGGTGCTGTGGCTGACTGGAGGCACCGGAGTTAATCTGGAGGATGGTCCTGGGGCGCAGAGGCAAGGAGAGAGTGTGCTGGGCGAAGCCTGCTGTGAATACAAACTGCCTGTGGACTTTGACAGAGATTATTGGATTCTGGTACTCCAGGAACACAGTTATTAGTTCCCCTGCCTACACTGAGCATTTTGAATCTGTGTGTGCGATAACACTTATTAATACTGTTCAGATTAAAAGGAGCCTATAGCTTTTTAGCACTTTGACTACCTTATCTTACAGAATCCTTCTGCCCAGCTGCAGAACCACATTCAGCTCAACGTCCTGCACCCAGCATAGCAGGGTCTCGTGGGTCCAGCAGTAGCCTCCTGCTTTTACGCCTAAAAGACCTGTGTTCATTCACAGGAGCAGTTCCTTTTCAGTTGCCTTGTGCTTCAGGGTACATGCCTGCTGAGGATTTGCAAGACGCAGGCCTAAAATCCTTTCTTTTAGGAAGTCCAGTATCAGTTCCTGTCACCGAAACAGTTAATCAAAAAGCACCAACTCTCTCCTGGAACGTGTGTGTGCGAGCGCGCGTGTGTGTGTTTTTGTTTTTTAGAGCCAAGAAGATTTGCTTTGGTTTTTTTAAAGCAGAAACCACCACAAAGTTGGCTGTGGTTTCAGCTGCGCTCGTTCGAGATTTGTACTTGCTGACTACCAATCCTAAAAGAGTTAACCTAGTAAGGATGACTCAGAAGCAGAGAAGGAGATGCGAGGCTCCGAGCCTCGCAGGAAGCAGAGAAACAGAGGTGAGGAACATAATAATTACCAAAAAAAGGTGCAGAGTCCAGGAGCGACGCTCCCCTCGGTTTGCCTGGCCCTGGCACCGCTGGCACGGGCTCCCTGGAAAGCTGCAGTTCCGCTCTTATAACACAGGGAGCAGGCTGGAGAATTTAGAGCTGCGTCACAGAGCTCAGCGAGAGAGTGAGAGAGCAAGCTCCGTCGATAGGTCTTACCAGCAACAGCCCTGCTGCAGCAAGAGGGGAGAGAGGCAGCAAGAGAGGCAGAGAGGGCTCCAAAAAGAGAAGTAACGCTAACACCAGGGACTGTGCTCCTGCCACCATCCAGTGTCCTTTAAAGATCGCATTCGGGCTCGCTTGGCGTAGGAGGCTTCGCCCATTGACGATGCTGGAGACCCGGCGCGCTTAATCCCACGGGGAGGGAGAGTGGGCAGACACCAAAAGGGTTAACGGAAAGGAAATTTCTGGAACCTTCTATTCTGCGGCGCTACACAGCGAGCGGAGGGCTGAGGACTGCGCAGATGGTGCACGGGCAGAGCTCTTCGGTCCGGTTCGTCTTTCTCACGTACGTACCCTTTGATCAGGATGGGGCTTGAGCTGCATCTACGTATTTAAATTATTTGCAGGGCGTCCCTTTCCCCCGGCGCCCCCGAGTTCAGCTCCCAGAGTGCCTTTCTTATTATTTTGGCTGGGTATGATTGCTCTGTTCTGCGTCAGAGCTGTTTTCTCAATGGAACGACGGCACAGGTTGTACTAATGTCACTCTTGCCGGCATTGCTGTACTGCAGAGGAGGGTAGTAGTGGTGGGGGAGAGATGACAACTTTGCAAAGACTGCTGTTTTCATGTTTTGCTTGGGTTTTTTATCTCTCCCCCCCCACCCCCCCACCCTCCCCCCCCCGGCAGCTCTGTAAAGGCTGGCACGTTGGCAGGGCTTTGGCGGAGGGGTTAACAGGCGCTCTGCGTTTCAGAGCTCGGAGGTTTGTCACTGCGTAGTTTGCAAAGTGGTAAACGGTGACGCAGTGATCATTGCAGGGCATGTCGTCCAGTTTTTAAAAGCACTGGGGAACAGGTAGACGGTGCCTTCCAGACGCTTCCACACCAGCTGAAAGGGGTTAAAGATGAGTCGAGACGGGAAGCTAGCGTTTAGGGATTAAATGTCATCATTTTGGCGTTGGAAAGTTGTTTACCTTGCTCTCTCCGTGTCTCCATGTTGGCAGCCTTCCAGCTCACATGTGATAGTCTTCCCTGTACTGCTGCATCATTAACTAAGTGGCAGAGCTGGCTCCCCATTGGCCGGGGAGGGCTCTCAGCCCAAAGGCGCCGTCCGATTGGTGGAGGAGGTGATGGCAGGTGAAAAGCTCTCTCTGATTGGTCAAGAACTGGGTGTCAAATCTCAACGTTGATTTCACTTGCTTCAAAGTGCCGGCAGCTCCCTGCCCGCTCCTGCTGGGATCCTGGGTGTCCCACAGGCAGGGGCAGCAGGCAGGACAGCAGCAGTTACCTCCTCGGTGCAGTGGGTGCTGGTCCTTGCTCCCACGGGTGTCTCTTTTGCGGGTGCCGGTGAGGTTTCATTTTGCTGTGCAGTTCCGATGATGACGTGTCAGAGCTCCAAACCACGGGGAAGGGGAAAGTCCTGGGGTTTGGGGCTTTTCTCTGTGCTTGCTTTCTTCCTTCTCCCTTTTAAGGTGGTTTAGTGTGAGCAGGACTGTAAACTGCTCAGGGCAGGGATTGCGCCTGGAAATTATGTCGTGGGAAAAAGCAAAGCGAAGAAGACTCTTGCCCAAACTCAGCTTTTGTTTGCCCAAGTGCGAGTTTGCCACAGGCTCGGTAACATCAGGGAGGGCTGAAGACAGTCTTGAGTGATGGGTCTGTAAAGGTTTGCCAAAGAAATAATAAGGTTAGAAAGCAGGAACTGAAGGATTGGGAAGGACTGGGTAAGGATGGATGGGAGATGTGGGCAGAGAACGACTCCAGAGAGAGGATAAGGAAATGAAGGGGAGAACATTCTTCTCTCTTAACCGTTTACTATACTATTTTTTCACCTCTCTTCTTAAAGTGACCAGCAATGAAGATGGCAACTCTGCCTGGAAGTGCTGAGGACACAACCAGCTTTGAGCTTGGTCCTTCTGGCCGAGGAAGCCTCCTGATTATGCAGTGGAGTGGTAACTTTGCTTTCTCATGCGGCAGGGAACGTTTTTCCATAGCCTTTCATCATACTGAGGCTTAAACAAGTTTAAAGATAGGGTAGCATAAGCATTTAATCTGTATTACTCACTCGCTGACCTCTCAAGTGTCAGGTCCGGTTGTTTAGCAACAACTGCTGGGTTCAGAACCAGCTCAAACATGCTGCGTCCGCCGTCTCCATTACTTCAGCGTAGCCTGTCCTGTGAGTGAGAGGGAGAGAGAGAGAAGGGCTGTATTTACACACATACACCCACCCTGACCAAATTTTGGTTACAAAAGCCATAAAGGCCGTAGGCGCTGCGGTTTTATCCTCGGCTCCGCTCTTTTGCGCAGTGCCATAGACGGGAGGACGCCATTCCCAACAGCAGTGCGGAGCTAGGAGCAGGGAGGGAAGGAGAAAACAGACAGTAGGTGCCACTCCCTAGTTTTCCAGCCCCTCATTCCCATCTCCACCTTTCTTGCCTCTCCCTTTTTGTGCCAGATTCCATAGGGAATTTCAGACTCTTACTGCAGTCGTCACAACCCCTCCTGACTCACTGAGCCTTCACTGGCTTTAGCTGGCTCCCTTGGAGCATCCTTGCCTCCTGCAGCGCCAGTTCCGCAGAGCAGGGGAACAACAGGAATAGCAGCAACAACGGTGGTCCCTGCAGCAAGACAGACAGGCATAAAAACACACAAAGATAGGAACAGGGCAGTCATAGAGGTAAATCTGTACAGCCAGGAGATGGACTGAGAAACAGTGATCTGTGGCATAGAAGATGGGTGGGTGGTACAGACAACCCTTTGCATAGTTCCCCATCACACCTGTGGGGGGAAGGACCCAGTTAATTTGCAAAGCTGTTGTCTCTTCCAACCTGGCATTCTATGACATTTCCCAGTCCTTCTAACCGAGGTGAAACTGGCAGTCAGTGCACTTGTTTGGGCATATACGTACTTCTTGAGTATCTGTGTGCAGTGTTGGGATGCATTTGGTTTGATTTCTTTTACTACCATCTTTCTGCCACAGCGCTAGTTTAATTGCGTCTAACTGCAGGGAGGGTAAGGAGACAGAGATAAAAGAGGAGTTATTTCAATGTTAAACTTCAGCTGTAAATCTCATTACTCAGGAATTGAGGTTACTGTCAGCAGGTAAATCTGTGGGACTGGCAAGAAACAAGGCTAAGAAGGGGACGGACATGGCATATTTCTGTAGGACAGTAGCGATTTTGTGCATGGGATGGTGGTGGTGTTGTACGTGGCTAACTGTTCCATAATGGCTTTCTGCGTATTGATGCAAAAGCACTTGGGCAAGCTGTGATTTCTTCCTCCCTCTGACACTGTGTGTGTGTGACATTGTGTAAGCTGATTCATTTCTTCTAGAGTTTGGTTTCCTTCCTTTGCAAAGTGGGGTTTATTCTACCTCTCTGCCTTAGTGCGGCATAATGACGCAGTGTTTAACGCGCTGGGGCTGTTGGCAAAATACGTGCAATTTTCGTGGGCATTTTGATTGTTGAAGGACTGCAAAATTTGGTAAAGGAAGTTACGGATTGCAAATGCTCATGACATAAATTTAAAAGCATTACCATCTTCTTCTTCGCTGCTATCGAGGGAAGGCTCTCTGAATGACACGACAGCCATGATCTCCTGCTGCACTTGTTTTGCCGATGGTCATGTTACATCTGTGACGCAGCCCGATTTTGCTGTTGGCTCCTTTCTGTGCTTTATGGAGTTGAGCTGAGGAAGGCACAAGCTTGAATACGGTTAGAAACATTCATTTAATGTGGATGGTAAAGTTCACAACCATACCTGAAGTGACAGGGATATTGGCATCCTCCTATCTCCCCACCCGCAGATGGTGATCTGGATGAACACAACAGCACCTCTGGCCATTTTGTTGCTCGCAGGGTAGGCTCTGAGCCTGCAGCACTGCTGCTGCTGCTGCTGTTAATTTCCATGTTACACAAATACTGCGTCGGGCTCTGTGTCAGGAGCTTTACTGATGCTGTGAGAAGCTTCGAGTCTACAAGTAAATGTTTTGCTTGTCTTATTTGGGAATATTCATTAAAATATTCAAATGCCAAGTGTTCTACCCTCACTCCTCTTACAATTTACTTCCAGACGTAGCCAGAAAATTCACTGCTGCTGGGTATTTTTAATAAAGCAGTGTTTTCTTACTGTTTAATATGGGTGTGGCTGGAGGGGAAAGACAAGATTTCAGTTGGTTAAGTATCTGTATCGCTGATGCTAATGGACAGAGATGTAGGCAAAAGCTATGAGTTGCCCATATTCTCTATATATCCATATATAGATAATCCCAAGGCTACGTTGTGAAGATGCCTGTGTAATGGAACAAGAAGGGAGGACTCTCTTCTGTTCCACTCACCCCGAAGTTTTGGTGCAGAGCAGTAGAAAAAGCCAACATAAGAATGTCACAAAATGGTTTCAGCAGCATTCAGAAATGCCAGTGCCGTTTATACTGGCACAGCTCCGAGAGAGGTACCGTGAGCTGCCTGCTGCAAGGTCATTCCCTGGACTCACTGTCACCAACCAGTTAGTTCAGGAACTCTCAATCCGCATTTCTTGCAACTGTGGCAGTGCTTGAGTCCTGAACCTGGAGGTGAGGCTTGAAAATTAATGTTACTGCAGTTGTGAGCCACTGGGTCCAAAACTGTAGATCCCCAAAACTCCTGCGTCTCTGAGGTGTTTTAAAATCGCTATGTATAATTTGTTTCTTGTGCTAACTACAAACACTTTGCACCAGTTCCCTCACCTGCTTTTTCCCCAAGACTTCCTTTGGACTGCTGGGAATCAGCAGTGGTGGTGTAGTTAAGGACTAGGCATCAACTTCCGCCATGTTCCAGAAAAAATAAGTGTCTGCCTGTATTTGGAGTTCTGTTCCTGCAGTTGTTGCCAGGTGGACTCGGCCAGCGGCTCCAAGTTCACCAGTGGCTCTTAAGCTGGTATCATCTCTCGTGTGCTTGCAGTTCCAAGTACCTCAGCTCAACAGCAGCCTTGTTCCCTCCTAGGTTTCCACGCTTTTCTCTGGTGTTCCTGTTTGTCCCTGTCACTAGTTTTTGCAGTTGCCTCGGGGCAACATCAGCCATGGATATGTTTGGGCTGGCTGTCGTCTTCTCACCTTCACAGGCAGCAGCAGAGTGGTTAATGCCTCAAGGATCTTGAGCAAAATAAGTTATTTTTTCCCCATCCTGCCCTGACCACGTTTAAAGTCAGCCTTAGCTTTCAGTAGCATTATTCTCTACTTTTCAAAGGGAAAGAACCTGGCTGCTAATCCTGATGCCAGTGACGACTCTTCGCCTACAGGGAGGCATATGTGAGAGCTTGTCTGCTAAAAACTGAGCCAACACAGTGTGATTCAGACCTTAAGCTTTCCAAGGAAGAGAGCTATTTCTGAGTTAAGCACATCTCTTCAGCTCCCCACACAAACACTCTTTATCCAGTGCAAATGGTGCATAGTAGGTGTCCAACAGCAGCCACTGGTATTTGGATATACAGCTCAAATGCTTCTTAAACATTGATGATGGCTCTCAAACATACAGCAAAGTTTCAGTGACAGGATGATGGAAATCCTGGGAACAGGTACAAACCAGCAGCTCACGTGCTCAGGGAAGTCAGCCATAAGTTTGGCCCCTGGTTTTCTCCAGCTTTTTTGCCAGGTCCTTATACTGCAGATAGTGTGAAGCTATGGCAGGGTAGTGAAGGCATGTTGTCGAACATACAGATTAAAGGCAAGGTTATACTTCAGTGAATGTGTGGCACAGAAACTCTGCTTTTCACTGGCACAGGACATTCTTTTGTCTCTTGAACGACACAAAGAAAACCACAGCTTCCCTTGACATTACCTAAAGTCGCTTTTGGGGAACACCACGTTCCTGAGCTGATCATACAAATCACAACAATAATCTCCCTGGGCCTGCTTTTAAGACCTGTATTGACTGATACTTTATATTCTAAGGTGATGCTTAGGTACAGAAGTTAAGAACAGAAAATTGCTTTCCTGGTTTTAGCTACTTTGGTGGATGTTTTTAGTGCAGTTAGTTCTGGAATGTGCTGTTCAGTCACGCTGTGCTTGGCTAAATTAGACGAGCTCTCATTGCTGCACCTTCCTGATGCTCTTCCATGACCTAGGTCATGAAAATGCCATGCTTTTCTTCTCCTCTGTAGGTTTGCCCAGTTTCACCTTACTGTTCCTTGTGAAATCTGAAATCCTTCAGAGGATTCAGTGCTTCTGTAGTTCCTGTGCCCTCCAAATAGGCTGTGGTTTTGCTTAGGAACTCTCAGAGTTTAACCCCAGCTGGCAACTAATGCCACTTGCTCGGTTCCCCCCCTGCTGCCCGTGTAAGATGGGAAGGGGAATCAAAAGAAGTAAAACCCATAAGCTGAGGTAAGAACAGTTAAATAATTGAAATAAAGTAAAAAAATAAATAAATATATATATTAAAATGGTAACAAAAGAGAGAGGAGTAAGACCCCCCAAAACCAAGTGATGCACAGTGCAATTGCACACCGATGCCCATCCCATCTGGAATCAGCAGCTCCCAACCTACTCCCTCTAGTTTCTATACTGAGCATGAGGTTACATGGTATGGAATATCCCTGTGGCTAGTCGAGGTCAGCCATCCTGGCTGTGCTCCCTCCCAGCTTCTCGTGCCCCTCCTCGTTGGCAGAGCATGGGAAACTGGAAAGTCCTTGACTTAGGGTAAGCACTACTTAGCAACAACTACAACATCAGAGCGTTATCAATGTTATTCTCAGACTAAAGACAAACCACAGCACTGTACCAGCTGCTAGGGAGAAAATTAACTCTATGCCAGCTGAAACCAGGACAAACGCAAAAGTGGAAGAAAACTGGATGACTCCAGGCAGACCAATTCAAATCAGCAGATGGGAATCACAAGATTAGAAACTGTAGCCCTAATATCCAACACTCCTAGAATTGTCACCATGCTAAAATCACTCCCTTCAGATCAGAATAGAATCACAGACTGGTTTGGGTTGGAAGGGACCATAAAGCTTATCTAGTTCCAAGCCCCTGCCACAGGCAGGGACACCTTCCTCTAGACCAAGTTGCTCAAATCACCCACTGTGCCTAGGTCAGTGCTGGCATTCAAGTGTCTTGCCCTCAGAATGGCATGTTCTATATCCAAACCACCAATACCCGTGTGCTGACTGCCAGCTTGTTGCTCAGCATTGTGCAGGAGAATCCTGGCTGGCACCAAACCCATTCTGGGAACAAGCACTGTCAAAACTGACTCAAAGCAGCAAGAGTTAACCACACACTGGCGTGCCTTCAGGGAGGCCATCATGCAAAGAGAAAAGGCTGAGATGCACCTCTAAGACCTCATCACAAGCCCGATTTCAGCCATTGCAAGTGGTACCTATCACCTGTGCAGCCCTAAATGGGCTGGAAAAGCTGCTTCATTAAATAAAGAAGCAAACAAAACCCCTCACCCCCAAACCCCGGAACATTTGGGCTGTTTAAAAAAGGAAGGGTTAGACTGACAGGCAGCTCGCTGACAGCTCAGCACAGTTAGACAAACGCTCTGACAGATTACCCTTAATAGGAATCCAAATTAGTGACTTGAATATCAAGCTGGCCTGAGTGTCCCATCACTCAAACAGAGCTAAATGGGACAATAAGCTCCACAGGCTCTTATCCACAGTATGCCACAGCCCAGCATCCAGTCTGCCTTTGGGTTTGGGGGCAGATGGCACAGGGGTTGCAGACCCAGCGTACCTGTCTTTTAACTTTACTGTTTATACTGCAATTGTAAAGCTACGATAGTAGGACTAAAGGAATAGGCTACGTTCAGCTCTGGAGTTTGTATTCTGGTCCTACTCAAAGAAAAAAAATCCATTATGCTTCAAACTCCCAAGAGAACTACATGCTTTTGCTGCCCATAATAATAGCAGCATCCCTAGAGCCATCTTCTAGTCACAAGCATCAGCTTCACCAAGCAATGCAGCATCCACTCTACCCTCACTCAGCCTGGGTCAGTGCTACTGCTGACACAGAAATCATTACGCCCTCCTTACTAGCTCAGACTGCATGTTAGGGCACATTTGTCCATACCTGACCTATGCAACACCACACAGTAACAGAACTGCACAACAAACAGATGCAGTTACATGCTCCCCTGGGCTGAGGAAGCTTTTTTTGAAACCTTAGAAGTTCACTCATTTCAATTCACCTTACAGGTCACCACTTGCACTGTCACACCCCTCTGTCCTGCACCTGGCCTTGCTCTGACTCATTCCTTGACTGAGGATGATGCATCAAGCTCCAATTCTCTGTATGTACAACGGGAACGCTTTCTGTAGGGGAGACCAGAGCGTGATGAACCATGAGTTTCACTCCACGGTTTGCACACAGGGTTATAGAGAGATCTGTTTTGCTGTAGGTTGTAAAAAATCAGCTCTGTGACATCAAGCTTGCCTTGCTCCTGCAGACTAGATTAAAGGTCTTGGGCTAGGGAGGAAGATCCCTTTATGGGGGAGGCCAGGATTTCTTCCCTTTCTGCCTTTGTCTCGTGTAGAATGTATAAAGCAGTGTGGAGTCCATGAAAGGCTTTGAGATGTTCCTCTGAAAGAAGCTACAGAACAGTACTGCTACTAAAATGTGTTTCAAAAAGGAGCAAGAAAACAGAATCATAATATTGTACTTTTCCTACTGTTATGTATTGAAAACTCCAGAACCCACTGACAAAGCCAGCTATAGCTGATAGTACTTGCTTGTCTCCACACATATGTGTGTGTCCATATGTACACCCTGAACACACACCCAGCAAATGTCTGAGATGAGCACTGATTTATTTTTCTGCATGGGTGGTATTAACAGTTGAGTGCTGTGTATCACAGGGTCTTGAACTACTTTCTTTTCCTCCTTCCCTTTGCATGCTGCCTGCCCAAGCACGCTGCTAGGTTTGGAAAGAACAGCCTACACTGGCAGAGATGTATCCCTCATAAAAAGTGTACCTGCAGTTTGGCAGAAAGGGCTGACATCTTCTGGCTGCTTGCAGTGAAGGGGGAGCTTGTCAAGGCTATAAGACAAGCTTCAGGTGGTCTGGAGGAAGGGCAGCAGCACTGTAATTATGCTGAAGTGAAACATGGTTTTATCAGACTAACAAATGAGGCACTGGTCATCGACTGCTGCATGGGATTTCTTGGAGAGGTTAGTCTCCTTTGGAGAGGGGAAGGTATGCATGGGTGTTCAGACCCAGTTCAGACTGCTGACAGAAGAGAGACTGAAATGAGCTCTTAGGCAGAAGCTCTTCCCTGTGAGGGTGCTGAGGCACTGGCATAGGATGCCCAGAGAAGCTGTGGCTGCCCCATCCCTGGCAGTGTTCAAGGCCAGGTTGGACACAGGGCCTTGGAGCAAGCTGCTCTAGTGGAAGGTGTCCCTGCCTGTGGCAGGGGGCTGGAATTGGATGAGGTTTAAGCTCCCTTCCAAACCATTCCATGATTCTATACCTCTAAGAGAAGCTCTCATTTTGAGCAGCACAAACATAACTGACATTTCCACCAACTGTTTTCTAAAACCCTAATATAAAGATTTCTTTTTACTGTTAAGCCACATGCTTACTACCAAGACAAGAAAAAACCAAAGCAACCCCCACTTGCAGCCTGTTTCTGAAAGATGCTGCTGTGGTACTTTATCTGGGCTGCAACCAAGCTCTTGTCAGCAGTAACTCTCAGTCCAGCTTTTCACTGGTACGTGTTAACACTGATATTACAGGGTGCCTCATAAATAACTGTGCCAGCAAGACAGACACTGGGGAGGGAACCTGCTTTCCACTTGTCTTTCACCCTGTTGCCCCAGATAATGGATTTAGAAACTACAGTAAATATGCAGACTGTAATCTAGTACAGTTCTTTCCCCTTCCTCCACCCCACTTTCTTGGAAGGACATGCTCTTTTTCTCTGAGCTTTCCTCTGCTGCCTGTGGGTGTGCATTAGGATGTAGGCACTGAAGCAGATTCTTGGATCTGGTTACAAAACTAATGCAAAGAGCTGCCAAAAACCCAGGGCATCAATAAGTGAAACTCCCAGCTCCAGTTCTGCTGCACTCCATTCCATTTTACATCAGCTTCTGCATCATCAAAGGTGAGACATGGTGGCCAGGCTTTGGTAGATCCTGAGTTATGCATGTGTGGAGTCATACGCAGAGGTAAGACACCCCATCTATTCCCACTGTACAATGCCGGGTGACTACCACGGGCTGTGCTGCACTAGAGCACTGCTCAGCCCTACTCCCATTCCAGTAACCATCAGCCACTAGCTTTCACACTCTCCTACTTCCTCGACAACTTTTGCTGAACCATTTACAGTTTGATTTGCAAATGCTCCTTTTTTAGGTTTTGTTCTGACCCACACTTGGAGTAGTTTCCATGCAATTTATTTTCGTTACCCCTATATGAATTCCAAACTTGTCTCACTAAACTCCACAACTCCTTGCTTATTACAAGCATGCTAATTGCAGGCTGCATGATACAGCTGACAGAGGCAGTTCCATCACGATAGTCACATTTCCTTCCCCTGTCCCAAAGCACCTCATCTGTCCTGTCCTCTCTGCTGATGCTGAGCTCAGGAAGCAATGGAAAGCCACACCACTTTCTCCCTTGGACAGAATGAGGTTTATAGCCTGGTTCCATGGCAGTGGCGTGAAGAAAGCGTTCTGTACAACACAAACTCATCACCCAGCACTATCATACTGCACTTCAGGAGCCTTTTTCACTGCTTGCTGGTCAAGAGCTTCAGCATATTCCACCTGGCTGTGAAAGGAAATGAGTTACTGCCAGAGTGGTGGGTTTCTTCATCACATATTTTCCTCCTACACCAGGCTCAACTATTCATAAGATGCTAAAAAAAATCTGTGCCAATAAAGTAACTAACCCAAAGTTCACTGTCTTCCTTTCTAATCAAATTCAATAAATGAATTTTTCTTTAGGTACGATGGAGATGAAGGATTTTCTCTCTCAGTCTGCAGCCAAGCACCAGATGTGTCTTCCTCTGGAAGCTGGTTTCACATGGTGGCTTAGATTTTCCCACTTTGTATCTAGCACCATTTGAAATCAGTGTTCTAGGAGCAAGAATTACAGCGTGGGAAGAGAGCAAGCAGCTGCTGAATGCACCAATGGCCTCTACTCCTTAAACCAGCACTTTCCCCACTGGCTATTTTTTTGCCAGCCATCCACTTTGTAACATCATCTGACTTCTAGACACTCATACAAGCACTGTATGCACCCTCTCAAGCTAGGGCCACCACAGAACAGCTGCCTTCCAATGTATTTCTACTTAATAAACAATGGATATGAGTTCAAGTTGTCCAGAGTAAAGTGATCCAAAAGTTGCATCAAAACCAATGCAGTACTTCTTGCACCTTCACAGGCAGAGTGTGTTTCCTTTATTATACAGTCACTCAGATCCTAACATTTACTTAAAGCAAATGTATTTCCACTCTGTGCCTGGGGACTCTGTGGCCATAGAACTTATCATTCCGTAGCTCCCTGAGACTTGCAAACACAGAACAACCTGAAGTCAGCAGTTAAACACAAAAGTGCCTTCAGCAATCATGCTGCTGTCATGCTGGTACCCACAGAATCTACTCGAAGTTTATTACCGGTAACTTGTAGTACTGTTTCTGTAGTCTTCTATCCCCTTGAATCCAAACCACTAAAACGAAGCTAAACTATTTCTTGTTCAACCTCACCATTGTCAAACATTCTACACAGAACAGACGATCGCTGTGTGGATGAAGCGTTTGATCAGAGCACTGAATAGTCAACTTTAAAGAACATGTAGCTGCCATCTACAAGAGGATCCTTCTCTGAGCCAGGAAAATGTCTCTTACACAGGCTGACCGATTTCTCTTGGTGTTCAGAGTCTCAGTTTTTGTCTAGCACCATTTGAAATCGGTTATGATGTAGGGGGAAAAGCAACAGTAATGGAAAACTTCATTCCCCCGCCCCCCAAAGTCCTTAGAGACAAACACCACCAAAGGCACAGACTTCACTAACACGGTATGCTTTTCTGTTCTCCGACCTGAAGTTACACCTGGCCATCCTGCTCAGAAGGAGGACAGTCAGCATCACGCTCAACTAGGAGGGATGCTTCAAGAGAAAGTGAAGCATCTGTTCAAACACCTCACTCAGATTCTTCAACTCAAGCAAGCCAGGGCCCATGTGTCAGCAGAGCCTCCTAACCTTGACTGGTTATATTCCATGTGCTATTTGTTTGCCTTAACCTGTTATTTACTCAGATCTTTTTTTTCCTTTGAAATAAAATTGTGTCCTACTTGGTATCAAGCTCTGTCTCAGGCAGACAGATGACATGTTCCCTGCAGGACAATACCTGATTGCTGCAAGTCTCTTCATTTCAGTCCCCAGCTCCATTTTCAACCCCATGAACCATGCTCAGAAGTGAGCATTTACACTGAAGTGTACCACTGAGAACCCCACCAGCCACTGACACTATACGCAACGTTCAAGTAGTACCTATGTTTGGTTACTCCCACAGCGAGACCATCACTTGCTTTACCAGTAGATGGCAACAAGAGATTTTTACTACATGCAGCCCTTTTCTTAGCACAAAGTTCATGTGTTCGTGACTCTTTAATTATCAGCTCCAGATTCTAAAGTGAAGGAATTCACCTGGGACTGAGTTTTAGAGAAATGGTACAGAATTAATGGCAATGAGGACAAATTCAATTGTAAGTGTTTAAGTCAGACTGCCTGTCCCGTCAGTGCTCACTGCAATCCCCAAGCTTTGGAGATTGTAAACCTGTGTAGTCTACAGATAGCAATTCTCAGTCCACACCAACTCCTGTTGACTATCACAACCTCAACTGAAAATAATATGATTCTATGATTCTATATTAGTTATTTTTCTATTGCATCCTCTCAAAGGCTTTATCTTCTAAGGCAGCTCACTCCACATGTTTCTTTGAAAAGAAAATTAAACATATTGTGAATGTAAAACTCAGAACTAATCACATTCTACTTAACATCTGACACACACTGGACAACAGTGCCAGAACACTGAGCTTTGCTCTTAGTATTGTACCGCAACAGCCACCTGATAATCTGTCTCATCTCCATCAAGCTTTTAACACATTTTTCAGGAGTGAACGCTGGTTTGGGAAGGATCTGGGATATTCCCTTCCAAAAGAAAACCAAATGCTGCTGAGCAAATCAAACCGCATTCTCTACACTGCCAAACTGCAAACTTCCATCTCAACAGTTGTCACCTAACACAAGTTGGGTACATGAAAAATCAGCTGAAGAAGCATGGGAAAGTAGCTGCTTGGCACATAAAGAATGAAAGACAAACACTTACTGCTAAATAATTTAACATTTTTATTTGGAATAGTCTTTACATCTGGAAAAAAAAGGTGTAAAAAATAAGGCCATTTGGTACAGTTGTTTCACTCGAGCATGAAGTGCATTTCAGCATACTTTAAAACATCCAGGATGCCATACATAAAAAGCTACTCATGACCAGCACACACTCCGTTCCCAGTATATTACCCCAGAGTTTACAAACCATTGTCAAACTAGGTATCAGCTAGACCATGAACAGCAGCAAGTCATTCTGTGTAGCCAAAACCTCTTTTTAGTAACCAGAGTCTATTATGAACTCGAACAATACAGCTGTTGGGATTGTCCCAAAAAGCCCTAGAGAGCCCTAAATAGTTCTATGTTATTCCAACAATCTGCTCACAACAGTGGGGAGCAGTGCCAATCTACCACAGAAAAACATGAGGAGTTTAAAGGCTGCCTTTAAGCTACATCTGAAGTGAGACAATTTGGGTTTTCTGGGAAAACTGGTTCTTGGAAGCTGTCTGTATGCTGTTAGCAAACTCCAGGATTCACAACGCCAAACCCTGTCCTAAGGAAGCTTTTGGTTTTAATAAGGAATTAGGAGGAGGAAGGATGCGATGCATTTAAAGTAACAGCTATCAATGCACATCTGAGTCTCCACTCATGGCAAACACTGTGCTGTAAGCTCCTGTAGTCACAGTCTTGACTCAAACACTTCATGAAGCAAGCAGCTACCTAAAGAGAGCCCTCATCTACCACCACAGCCAGTATATCCATTCCTTCATTCCTGCAACTCATCTGGTTGGTATTCCTTTAACATGGAAAGAGAAGGGAGTCTGACAGGGAAAGGCTTCTGTTTCTCAACAGATATTTAACGCTAAATCTAGTGTTACAGAGCTAAATTTAGCATTACAGTCTTTACACAGATTGGGAACATGGAATACATTATTTCAAGTGAAAAAAGCAAGGAAGCTAGATCCACCCAGTGCCCTATCCTGGAAAGCAAATGTGATCTTCAAAACTGCATCAAGGCTCCATAAAAATCAAGCATCCCAAGGACCTTACTGTGCACTCCCAATAGGACATGGCTACCACTGATTTCTCAGCAGTTCCTTCAATTAAGCACCTTCTGTCAACAGGCCAAGAATTCAAAAGCAGGGGATACCTTTTGCTATAGAAACCTTCAGTTTCCCATTCCAACTAATCTACTATAGTCTTTCTGGGACTGTATCAAAGAGCCAGAAATATATATGGCTTCTTTCCTTCTTAAAGGCAACAGAAAAGCTATAAAACTCTGATTTAAAGGCACACTTTAATTAACTAGATATACAGAAACCAACTTTAGCAAACAAAGAGGTAGCATATAGAAGAGCTAAACTATGATAGTTTCAAAGAGACATAACCTTAAATGGCACTGACTGCTTCAGGGAAATAAGAATAAAACATTTCAGAACACAAGAGAACATCATCTTTTAGAGCACTTCAAACAGGCAAACTGAATGAGAAGCACATTCAGATTTTAGTGAGCAGAACTGGATAGTCTTCTGTAAGAAAAGAGGTAGCACTGAAGGCAGCAGGAGCTGGTGCTGGGACAGGGATTCATTCAGTGCTCCCACAGACACAAACACTTTTGCAGGCCACATGTATGGGCCTTCAAGAGCATTTCACATATACAGAAAAGACAGTATGAGTGGCCCATAAAGAAAAGCAGGTATCTCTCTCTATATATATATATTTGTTTTACCCTATTAATGATCTATGATAGTTAATCAGTAGTCTAAGACATGACACAAGATATTCATCTACAGGAACTTTAAGCAAGTGCAGTCATTTTCCATTCCTGATTGGGACATTCAACTGCAAATTCCCTCCCACCCCCAAAAAGGTCATTCATGCTTTACAGATCTTATATTCGGCAGTACATGGAGTGCTGTCACGTTTCCTACAAACAGAAAAACAAGTCAAATCAGAGGGTTTACATTCAAATAGTTTTTACATTCATTCTGAAAGCACATCCTTAGTTTTACCATCAAATCAACAGGTAGTCATGAAACTAAATCATTAGTTGCCCTCTTACTAAGCAGCTGCTAGACTGAGGAGATTTTTACTCCATTTCATCCACTAGACTGTCCAGAACAACCCACAAAGTAGAAGAGCATTTGATCCAAAGGGATCATTTCAAATGATGAACAGACCATGCCTGAGCATTATCAACAACTGACACAACAGTTACAGGATTCCTAATTGATTTGTGATTCCTAACATCAAAAGCATCCCTTCCAATTCATGTTAAATACAGCATGTTATTTAGTACATATGTTTATAACCAGAAGCTGTGGATTAGGTTATGAGAATTTGGATTCTGTAGCCTGCTAACAGCAAGTTTACAAATACTTAAACATCTGAGGATTGAAATTTGTCATTACACCCATATATGTGTTTAAGTTCTTGAATAATTCCCGTTTTGCTTTGCAGAAATAAATCACATTCCAAATCTCTGCACTACTACTCAAAGTCACTAAGGAGTTCTAGATACCATAATGCAAACTCAGGGGTTAATAGTGGAAACCTCTTACTTCAGGGGTAAAGATGGTATTACTTAATCCTTACATCAGTTTGTAAGAAACCTTGAGCTTAATTTTCATATATGCAACCCCAAACTTATGAAAACTAGTGAAAGTCCCTTGTTCTTTGGAAGTAAATAAAAATCAAGACCTTTGCATTAAAGCAGGAGACATCAATGTTTCAACCATCACCTCCTCAGAATTTGTGCAATGCAGAAAACCGAAACAAAGATACCAATTTACAAAAGGACTTGTAGTGCAAACTGTTAAGGGAGAATGAAATACTGACAAGGATCAGTCAAATGAAGCCATCTTGTCTTCAACTTATTTTGTTGTAACAAGGTTTGAAGAGTCAGGTGTTTGGAAGAGGTGATTTGACCCTACACAAGTGCAGGAGTAACTGTAACTATCATCAAGTGCATCTGACTACTGGACTAAGCACTAAAAGATAGGAGAGGATATCAGTCTTAAACAAGCAAATCAATTTTGATCCCTTTTAAGGCTACAGAAGTTTGAGAAAGAAATCATCTTTTCATAAAAAGGTTTAAAAAGACCACCTTGTTTGTACCTTCTTTTATCCTTCTAGAAAGTTCTCAGTAATCCTGAGATGCACATCATTTGGTTTTCTCTGAATGGATGCACACTACCACTGTAATTCTAGTGTCCCTGTAATGTAGCAAAAGTGGCTTCTACCTCCAACAGTCTTTTAATGACCGGGATTTACACTTTGAGCTAATAAAAGTAACCCACCACTGGAATTCACTTCATATCACTGAAACAGCTGCAAACATTGTACTAAGCATGTACGTAGTTTCTATCTGACACAAAAATTTTTTCTTCTTTAAAGACAACCCAACCCTCAGATAGGTGCTTTGCAATCACTGGAAGCTCTCATTTACCACACTGAATGCTAATTCTTTCTGCAATATATCCTATTCTCCTCAAATGAAGGGTTAGCATAGTCTTTCCTCTATGAAACTGAGCTATATTCCACACTTTTCCTGGAATTCTAAGTAAGCCATAATAACACAGACACTTGAGCTTCATTGCAAAAGTCCAAATGAAGTGGAAAGTGTATATATACCTTCTTAAGATTCACTTATTCATTTGTGAAGTTTCTTCCATCTCAGCTGGCTTTTAAAATACATGTTTCCTTGCAACTCTCATCAACTGTGTATGAGCTGAACAGCAGAAGGGGAAAAACTGAATGTCCTATAAAACTGGCAGATTAAATACACAAGAAAGAGAGGGCAAGGAAAGATTTGGGCTGGCATTTGAAGACAACAACCCAGCAAGTGTGAGGCACTGAAGCACAACAGTTCAAAGGCTCAGCTATATCAAACACAGAAAACTGAAGAGGAAGAACTAGGCCTTCACAAAAGGAGATTAGATGACGGCTTTCAGACAGAAAGAGGTTTAACAGTCAGATGTTCACAGCGAGGAAGCTTAAGGAAAGCACTGGGCACA